GAGCAACAATTTAGCTAATAAATTTTTTGTTGTTGATTTAAAAAATATCATTATCGTGATAAGTTTTTTGACAAAAAAATGAATTAAAATATTTTCGAGGATGACGAGTAGGAAGCTGTTGATGCGCCCACGTGATGACAATCTGAACACCGCCAGCCGCCATGACGCCACAACAACAATAGAACTGGAAAGGTTGGTTGGATATCATAAATATGTGCCGGTGAACAATTGTTCCCTCAACGAAGAAAAGCACTTTGGACCATGCTTCATAAGTGTATAGATGCAACTTACAAAAGATAAAACAATTCAAAGAAAAAACAACAAACGAAAAAGTATTCCAAAAACGCTCAATAACACTGTAGAAAATTCCACTTTTGCAAATGCTAAATCATTCCATAACACAAACAACAATACAAACAACAACAGTACCAATTACCAATTTATACGGCAACAATAAACACGTAAAAATTAACAGCAGCAACCAACAATAAACAACAACAAACAATAACAAACAACATCAACATTTGCGACAGACACAAACAGCAGCAGCAGCAGCAAGCAAGTAAGCATACAGACAGAACTAACATTAGCACTTTTCGACATGATATCTCTGATGAGAGCCATTAGTTCCTTACCTTCGATGAATCCGTTTCCATCCTTTTAATTTAATTTAATTTTAATTTTTAAAACTTTCATCAAACAATTTATTTTATTTTTTTTTTAAATTTCACTAATAAACTGAATAATTTTGCTAAGATTTTGCAGCTCAAAACAATAAATCAAACATTTCTTCACTTGGCAATTACGTATTTTAAAATAACTGAACTTTGGACGGCTATTTAGTTGATTAGATTGACCATAAACAATCTTCTCAATTAAACATTTTTTATTCCATGGACCGGTCCATATTTTTATTAACAAATCATGTACGGTTATGAGCTGTGGTGTAGACAAGGAGGACTTGGGGCTGAAAACCCGCAATGAAAAATGTTGCAAGGGTTAAGAGAAGGTTAACGAAATCCTTATATGAATTTTTAAAAACTTGGATTGAAAACTATTTCAACCTTTCCAAAACAATAAATAAAATAAAAACACTGTTTTTAATAAAAAAATCTGTTACACCTTGTGAGAAAATCTAAAAAGGTCATAAGCATTTTTTAAAATGTCAACTTTTAGGTGATTTGGTCTAATACAGTTGACGACTTTATTATCGCTCAATTTTTTATCATTTTTCTATTTAATAAAGTTTTTAATGAAAAAAGTTTTATATTAAAAAAATGTTTTTCGATCAAGGGCAATTTTCTCCAAAATTTTGCAGGTTTGGTAGTCTCTAATTTGTTTAAGACCTGAAAATTTATAAACCAATTTAGCCAGAGTAATTCTATTTGTGAAATTTTAAAAATTTGCACTGGTTTGATTGAATCTTACACTGCATTTTAAATTGATTTAATTTAAGTTGAACGAGCTTCGAAGATACAAATGAATTTGCACTGGTTTGATTGACTCTTACACTGCATTTTAAATTGATTTAATTTAAGTTGAACGAGCTTCGAAGATACAAATGAATTTGATGAATTTTTTGAATTTCTTTTAAAACCAATTGTCAAACAGTGTTTAATGTTCAATGAGAAATTTTTATAACTAATTTTAATTAATTTGCATTAAAAATCATCAGTATCACTATTAAATATTTGTTTAAAGAGCAAAAAAATCTTTTCTTTTCGTTTATTTTAATTTTTTGGTAACCATAAAGAATATTTGAAAAGATTAAATTCATCAAATAGGTGGCAAGCAAAATTACAGGTCATTTTATTCAAATTTTCATTCATGTACAATGAACTGATAAATTATTCATATCTGCGTGATAAAAATTATAAAGTGCTGGAATTTAAAAATTTGTCCCTTAATAAAAATAATTTAAAAAAAACGTAACATGACGAGTGTACCAGATGACAAAATAAGTTTAATGGAAGTTTTGAAAAAAATGCACTCATTTAAAAGTTTTCGTTCATTCGTCATTACGAAAAATAAGTTTGGTATGTTGTCATAATAAAAACCAAAAATGGAAGCAACTCAAAGACCTCCATAGAGGACCCTGGAGAGTTTTGTGACATTTATGCAAAAACGTTGGAAGTTTATGCTGACGACAAGTATGAATAAAGGATTAATTCAGACTGCATTGCCATTAAAAATGTTTGTAAGAAAAATGTCAAAAGCGTGGAAAACCCTTTTAAAAATTCGTCTAAACTTCATTCACTAGCGTGGCGCATTGCTTCAACAATATTACTTATAACTGAAGGTTTTGCTTCAAAAGTAAATAATCAAAAGTGGTTACTAGTAGTAATAAGAGTTCCGCGTGATTAGGTGTATTACAAGTCTTACTTAGTTAAGTCATTTTATGAAAGAAAAAAAATTTCATGTTTATGAAAATTTTTCATAAATTCATATTTACTTCATATTTATAAATTTTTTTGTTTTTGAAAATTTTCCATTTTAATCAAATAAAAAAAATAAAAGCTATGTTTGTTAAAAGATTAAAATGTTCAAAGTGAATAATACGCTTAGTAAATATTTAAATATAAATTAAGTATTTTTTTTTGAAGAAATTTCACAAAAAGAAAAGATACTATAGTTACAAAGTTCATTGGATGAAATTTTACAACATGAAAAATAGCAAAGACTGTATAATGTTACGAGCAAAAATAGTATGACATCAATGTGATGATTTTATCGACTGATTTATTCTGTAAAAGTTTTAATTGTTATTAAAATTAATTATTGCATAACAATTAACAATTATTGACCTTCTTGGTGTCAATTTAAAATTAAACAACACACACGTAAATATTTTAGCAGTATATAGACCCCCCAACACTGACCCTAATATCTTAATCCAAAAGCTCGAACTTATTTTACCCACATTCAAGCCACACATAAAGAGCTATTTAATTGGCGACTTTAACCTTGACCTCAATAAACTCAACAGTGACAACGTCGTTGCTGACTTCTCTAGCCTACTATCATCATACAACTTCTTACCTCTTATAACCTCCTCTACTCACATCTCAACTTCTTCTTGCTCACTCATCGACAATATCTTTACTAACAACCTAACTTCTCACTTATCTGGAATAATTCTGTCTGACATATCTGACCATTTCCCTATATTCGCCATCGCTTCCAAATCAGAAATCTCAAACCATGCCCCTATTAAAAACTTCAGAAACCTAACTGAAGAATCTATAAACAACATCAACAATTTCTTATCGAACTACAACTGGAATTCTTTGACTTCTCTAAAAAATGTCAACAACTGCTGCTCTGTTTTGAATACTATCTTAACTTACTCTCTAGACACTTTTGCCCCCCTCCGTCCTGTCAAAAACAAAAAGAAAAAATGCTGGATCAATGACAACATTCTAAGTCTTGCAAAAAAGAAAAACAAACTATACATCATAAGCCTTAAATATCCAACCACCCGCAACATTGCCACCTACAAAAGCTTCAGAAACATGTTCACATCTATTAAACGAAAAACTGAACGAGATTACTTCTCTAACAAACTTGAAGACGTACATAACAATGTTGGACAAAAATGGAGCACTATCAAAGAAATTCTAAACAAGCAACCTCCTAACTCATCAATCACCAAACTAACTATCAACAACCAAGCAATTGAAAATAAACAAGAAATTTGTGACTTTTCAACACCCACTTTGCAAACATCGCTAGTCAACTACTCTCAAACCAACCTCCCAGCTATGGTAGTCCTACAGATGTTATGAGCCCATCCACACCCCATTCCATTTGTCTATATCCTGTTACTGAACAAGAAATATTAACTACTGTTAATATCTTGAAAAACAAAAAGAGCTATGCAGACGATGGACTCAACATGTTCCTTATCAAAAGCATAATTTTCTCTATCATATCACCACTTAATCATATCTTCAATTTATCACTAAGCACTGGAATCTTTCCTGACTCATTTAAAATAGCCAAAATCATACCATTATTCAAGAAAGGAAACAAAGATGACATTAACAACTACAGACCCATCTCCATTCTTTCCCCGCTGTCAAAAATTCTTGAAAAACTTTTCTTTAAAAGACTCTCTAATTTCTTCTGCTCAAACAATACTATCTGCAATAACCAATACGGATTCAGACCCAACCACTCAACTGAGCTTGCTATTCTTGACTTCACTCAGCATATACTAAATGAAATGAATAACAAAAATCTTTCTATTGGCATTTTCCTGGACTTATCCAAAGCCTTCGATGTCATCGATCACAAAATACTCCTATTCAAACTACATCATTACGGAGTAAGAGGCACAGCTCACAACTAGATGAGAAGCTATCTTTCATCACGGACACAATATGTTTCCATGGACAACATCAATTCAAAGCACGCTCTTATTCATCACGGGGTGCCACAAGGATCCATACTAGGACCCCTTCTATTTTCTATCTACATAAATGACCTCTGCAATGTTTCGCCCTCAACCAAATGCGTACTGTTCGCAGACGACACCAACCTTCTTTTTACTTCCAACAACCTACCAGATTGCTTTGAATATATTAATCTTGAACTCCAAAAATACTCTAACTGGTTATCCAATAACAAACTAATCATAAATTATTCGAAATGTGCATACATTATTTTTGGCCCAAAAATACTCACCAACCAAGCTCCTAACCTAAACCTATTAGTTAATGGTGTTCCTATAAGCCGCACCCTGTCTACCAAATTTCTTGGAATCACCATCACAGAAAATCTTTCATGGAATTCTCACCTACAAACTACCTCAGACAAAATCAACAAACTCACAGGCATCTTCTACAAAATCAAATATAAACTTTCTCTTTCTGCTCTTCGCACGCTTTATTACACATTCATCTACCCTTATCTAACCTACTGCATCACACTATGGGGAAATAGTTCAAAAAGCCACCTGAATAACCTAATACTTTCCAAAAAAAGATCAATACGTTTAATTTTTAACCTCAAACCCGATTCTCATACTAAACCCTTCTTCCTAGCAAAAAAAATTTTACCACTTAACTTCATCTGTCTTTACTACTCTGCTTTATTCGTTTTTAAATTTATCAACAATCTTCTCCCACCTCACTTTATCAACTTCTACACATTAAGTAACTCCGTTCAATCTACAACCACTAGACACACCCCTCTCTTCTATATCTACAAAACTCGCCTCAAATTAATCCAGACAAGCATAAAAATAACAGGTCCTGAAATTTGGACAGAACTTGTACCTCCCCATCTAAGAGCCATCATAAACCTACAACATTTCAAGCCAAAATTCCGTGCTTTTTTATTGACACTGGATCTCGACTCCACCACCTAATATTATATTAAAAATACGTTAGAACAAATGATGCGGATGAATGGTCTTTATGAATGGTTAAACATTTATGTGTTTATATATGTACTGAGCGAACATTTACAGTTATATGTCTATATATGTATGACACGAACATTTACTTATTTATCTTCAATTATCTTTCTGCTTCAGTTATTTTCCTTATTTTATTTCATTAACTATTCATGTATCTACCTGCGGTGGCCACCACAAAACAAACAGTCTAATTCGGTCTCCGCATATTCAACTTCATAACTTTTATTCACTTATTTGATATGTTGTTGATTATGAATAAAACTTTGAAATTGAAATTGAAATTTGAGGCCACTACATGCGTAATACAAAAAGTTGTCGACACCGTAAACTATTAAATTTAATTGCCATCCTTTTAGTTTAATTATCAGCCAACGCAAAGAAATCAGAGATCCATTTGGAATCTTCGGTTTAGAATGCATAGCAAAGACTGTATAATGTTATTATTATAAATTAGACTGTACATGGAGTCACCTGTCGCTGACTAGAGAGTTTTATATTTTGATTGCGCGCTGAGTAATTTCACGGTATAAATAACGTATAAAATGAATAATCAAATAACGTTTAGCATAGTGTCGGGGCTTAAATTCACCAAAAAGCCACCAAGAACAGTTATCATTAAACAGACAGAGAAACAACTGTATCATGTATCGCAAGAATGGAAACAGGAGCAATCAAAAACTAGCAACATGAATTATTCGAATGATTTGCTAGATACATTGATGTTAGATCTTCAAGTAGAAGCGATAGATCACTCGGAAGAATTGGTAGATCTTCCGGATAATTTGTCAGATCCTTTAAATGAGGAAATACGTGCACCGAATCGCTTCAAGCAGCCAACGCAAGAACTGAAACAGAAGCTACCAAAAACCAGATTCGTGTATTCCGATAATTTCTTAAATCTTCCTGAGCTGTCGTTAGATCTTTGGGTAGAATTGTTAGATCACCCGATAGAATCGGAAGATCTTTCGAATAATTTTTTAGATTCTGAAAACGAGTTGCCAGATGGTGTGAAAAAGAAGATAAAAAAGAAACGTACGCGAGAAGTTCACAGAGTAGTTTACAATAATCAAGTACGACATGCTTTGGAACACGAATTCCGACAAAATGAATGTGTCAAACAGAGATAGGAACCGTATTGCACAAGAAACCGGTTTGACTAAACGCCAGATTAAGTTCTGGTTCCAAAACCGAAGAGTAAAAGCAAGAAAGATACGAAAAATGAATAACATGGAACGAATTTTATCGAAATAGGGAATGTACCTATCTATAGATATGTAAAAATATTTTATTTTTGTGTGAACAATCATGTACTTTATATTTTTCAACATTTATCACTCCTCGTATGTATACACGTATCAATGCTTGTTTGTTATTCATAACATTTATTAAGAAAAATTATTAAAACAACACAAAAAATAACAGAAACACCGAGTTTTGTGGAGGTCGATGGTCGTCAATGTCCTGAAAGAATGAAGCACGAGAAAGAAGAAGACATGGATAATTTATTCATTGATTTATATTAACATTGCTTATAAACGAAATATTCGACCAGCAAACATTCTGTGAACAGATATGAGCGTTGTTGTTGTACTCCTTTAAAAATAATTAAACATAGTAAACTGTTAAATTTTTCCATTACAGTTTTACGTATGCTTTTTGCTGTATACATATACGCAAGTACATACAAACAATATTATGTTATTTTCTATATTTTTGGAATTATCCATGTTTTCTTCTTTAAAGTTTCTTATCCTTTCAGGACATTGGCGACCATCGACCTCCGCAAAAACCCGATCGATCTTTAACATTTGTAGTAGTTGAAATGTGATGATGTTCAACAAGTGTTACAAGGACTTCACAAATGTTATTCGTTTTTGACCGCGATCTCTTTTCCCTGCAAATTTTCCAGTGTAGTTAGATTTTCCATTCTTTCCTTCCGCATGATGTGACAAAAAAACTAACTGCCCCCGTCGGATTATCTGTAATAATTTCCTCTTTTCATAACCGGACTGTTTTAATGCATCTTTATTCGAGTTATGAGAGGTCCAACTAATTTTCATAATTCTTCTCAAAAACCAGATATCAGCGGCATTGATCCTTTTTTTCCATTTCTTTACAAATCGTCCAGGACTCAGAACCGTAAGTGAGTAGAAGAAAATATATAACACCTTAATAGTTTTAATTTTGTTGATATTCTGATTTTACTGTTGGCGAGGATGTTTTTCATTTTATAGTATGCATCTCTTGTCATTGCTATTCATCGTTTGATATCCACATCCCATTTACAACTTGAGGTAATGAGGCTTCCGCGATAATTGAAGCTGATGACTTGTTTCACCTGTTTATCTAGGTATTATAAATTTTTGTTGAAAAATGATTAAAAAGTTGTTTTTCTTAAATGTGTTTTCACTTTTTAAGCGATATAGATTTTTTTTAAAACAAATTCTATAAAATGAGAAATTTTCTATATAGCGAATTTATTTCTTGGAACCATGAATTTTGTTGTATGAAGGTCCGACTGTATATAGAAAGAACGGTGCCAGAGTATCCAAATGAATGTTTTAATTTATCAATTAACATTACATGATCAACACAATCGAAAGTCGCACACATGTCAAGCAGGGAAACTTTTTCTCACTCATTTGTTTGTTCACTTATTTCTTGCATATCTTATTTATTCCTTTGTTTATTATTCCATTTATATTCATTTTTATGTTTAATTATATTCATATCGTAAGTTATTGCACTAAAAAACATTCATTATTCCGATGAATGAATCGTTGAGAAAAATTTAGCAGGACAATTTATTTAAACGATATTCAGATGATGTGTATAAAGTATAAGTAAAAACAGACCACACACAGAAATGCAGTGTACTCGCAGTATACCAAATACAATTTTTAGTTTTAATGCATAGATTCATTGTGAAGATGGCAACAGTTAAATTGCAGCAACACAAAAAGAACAACATCAACAACATCTTTAAAACAACAGCAACAACAACATAACTACAACTGTAAACAGTTAGACATTTAGCAACAACAGCAGCAATAACATCAACAAACAACCTTTACTGTAAAATATTTAAGAACATAATGAAATAAAACACACAACAAACAAGAGCACTAAACTGGATCGTAATGATTGAATATGTCGTCAAATTCTTTTCTGGATAGCTGCAAATTCATTATTCATCGTGGTGTTATATTTAATCCTATTTAGGCTTCATCAATAAATATTTCTCAAAATTTGGAACAGTAAAATTTTCGTAAACACCGATGTTAAAAAATATCCTTACTAACAACTTTTATATTTTAAATATATCAACTAAATGCAAGATTGGAACAATCATAAAACAACAAAGTTGAACAAAGCGTAAACATCGGCAACAGAAAATTACGCAGCGTGCATGCGCATTCTGTTGAAATGAAGAACCACTTACGGATTTCCGTTTTGAAAATTGTTCCATGAAGTTGCTCTCGATGGGAATTAATCTGCGGTGGTTTTGTTACAGTTCAGTGATCACAATGTACCACAACATACATACAATAATGAAAAGTACTAAATCAATTTACCGAATGGGAAATTGAAAATATGTAAGCCATTAACTAATTAACTAGTTCAAAACAATGTAGATTGTTTACTTAATATTCCTGCTAAAACATAACCCATAAATTTAATAAAGCATGAGTTAATTTTTACAAATTTTTATAAATGAAGTTAACAACAGAGAAATGTGAGAAGCAAGACAAGCGGGTCATACTTGGCGAATTCTCCCAACTCCACCTTTCCATCCTTGTTCGTGTCAATCAAGTCGAGAACTGCCATGCGGAACGATTCGATGTTCTCTTCATTCTCCTCTTTCTGAATTTTAATAAAAAAAATGGATATGATATGCAGAGTTGTATTCTATATATTTATGTAATTAAAAAATTAATGCTCCATTTGTCATGAATTTATACTTTACTCTTCTACTCTTCCACTCTACCATCACAATTTTCATTTTTACTCTTTCAAGTTGCCTATTTACAAAATATTTTTAACGGTACCTATAACTAAAATGTTTTTACATTTGTGTAGCCCATGTTGTTTAAGTTGTTCTTTTTTTTGAAATGTTGTAACAGGTTTCTCTGGAAAGAGCACTGCCTTCAGGAATAATTCATAATAACTAAATGTTTGGAGCACTTTATTTTATTTGCAATAAAGTCAGTCCAGTCAGAAACAACTTGTGACTTGTGAGTTGTTTTGTGTTAGCAAGTCTTTTGAATGTACAATATACAACATAATGCAATACACAATGAATGTACGAGATGCAATATGCAATTCACGCAGACATGATGGCAACGCAAAAGAAGAAACACAGATGGTCCCAGCATATCAACACAAATTAAAAACGCCCGCTTACTCACATAATTGGACAACGTATGTTTGAGATGAGATAGCAATGTATATAGGTCAGTGTATGTAAGCTTATTTGTCCTATTTCTTTTTCTTTAATCATTCTCTAGTCTACACAGTCACCCATACCGTACACTCAATGGCAAATAGGCAAACATATATATGTAAATATATAATAGTTGAGTTAATTTCGATACGATAACATTTTTTGAAATATTGATTTAGTGAAAAATAATGCATGGTATTAAACAAATTATTCACATCAACAATTTGCCCAATTAATTCGTTTATAAAGTTAGTTTATAAAAAATTTCACAACTAAAATACGTTGCTGAGCGGTGTCTGACGGGACACATGAGGTTACATTAGATTAGGTTGCAACATAAGCGAAAATAAAAAGCTGGAAGACGGGTATTTATTGCAGCCATTTGTATGTAGTTCAAAAAAGCCGATTAAATCGCAAATAAATTACAGTTTTTCACTTCTTAACGAACTAATATTTAATCTCAACCTCCAATTCTGCAGGTTTATAATTAACACACTCGAGCCAAGATGTTTGCTTTTGTTTCATGCAAACAATGCAAACAATTATTTCTGCAGCCAGTCGAGTGCTGAAGAGAGCTGACGCCCATTTATTACTTTTTGCATTGCAGACTTATTTTTTTCCGTCAAAGCCAGAAGAATAACAAAATTGTAAGAGGTCCCACATTGTTTCAAAGTATTTCGCTGCATCGCCAAGAATGTGGCTGTTTGTAGAAAGGAATTTCTTGATTCATTATGTTGACCACATTTTTGTGAATCATTTAAATGTTAGCCAACGATGAAATTATGGTACTTTTTAACTAATGAATTAAATAAATTTGATAAGAATCTTTCACTAACTATTTTTCACTCACACGGTTATTTTGAAAAATTGTAACATCAAAACATGCACAGCACATGCAAAACGAACTTGAAATAAAATATTCTCGAACAATTAAAAGAAAAAAATGAAACAATGAAATAAGTGTGTGCAGACAAGTAAACTTTTCAATGTATAACTTAACAAAAAGTTAAATAAAATGAGAGAATGTTTTCCATCAGACGGCAAAAAAATATAATCGTTTCATTTTCAACGTTAGCTAGCACAGATGGGAAAACAGATCGGCAAACAGCACATTCATCCAACAGCTCATCAGTGTATTGTATATACTACCGCGGAACTAATTACCGGAGTCGATGCAACATAAACAAACTGAATGCGGTATTGTATACTTTTGCATGACAAAATCGTTGTAACGATCTTCACCCTGGACGTGAATTTCAAATGAAATGTTACTCCGTTGTACGAACACGCAGGTTGTCTGTCTGATATGTTGTGTGTGTGTGTGTGTGTGTGTGTGTGTGTGTGTGTGTGTGTGTGTGTGTGTGTGTATGGTGTGTGTGTATGGTGCGTGTGTGCTGTAGACAAAGATATCGCAACAGGATCTCAGCAGCCATTAATTTGAAATCATTTCTAATTTTATTAAAGATAATAATAACGCCGACAAAGTTTTTTAATTTCTGTGTTTTCAAATTTAAATTTTGTTCTTTATTATGCAGTCTGGTCAAACGCAGAACTGCTTATATTTGATTCTATAATTTTTGATAGTACTTTCATGTCACAAAAGCTGTATACTATCTATATTACACGTGGTAAATACACTTCATGTATGTACGGTACATTGTTTGAGTTTCGAACTAGACCATTGCAAAATAACTGCGTTAGACTTGGCACTTTTGCCAACTGAATTAACTCGCTGGCGAAATATAGCCAAGTATGATTTCGTCCTGCCAAACGTGGATTTCCAGAAATATTTTAAAAAGTAATTTCTGCTAAATTAAATGTTTGAAGAAACGTTTACCTGTAGGTCTGAAAAAGAAAGATGTTCACAAACTTCGATGCTTTTAAATCTGAATTTTAGCTAAAAGTTTGATAGTAATTTTAATGTAATGTTGTCAAAATTTATGATGAATGATAACAATTGATAAATTTTTGCATTCATAGCTGTCCGTACGTGTACTATTAAATATATTATATATAAAATATATATACAGTGTGCTGTCAACTGACTTTTTAAAATAAATGTATATTGAAAATTTTTAAACTGTATTGTATTGTATTGTATATTTTATTGTATTGTCTAGTATAGCGATTGGAAGAATTAGTCAAGGTGGCTTGTATTTGCTCTCAGTCATCCTTTTCTTGTACATCAGTCGCTTTATTTCTTTTGAAGTCAAAGAAATTTATCAATCAATCAACCAACTAATCAATCGTTCAACCATTCAATCAATATAATAAATAAGGCAATTAAGTTTTGGGTAGCCTGACCAAAACGCACGAACGAAAGCCCACATGAAAAGAACCCAGGCAGACAAAAGCGAACATCCATGGCATACAGCCCACCACGTACATAGTCGCACAGACATTTGTGCTTTTGTCCTGTGTGCAAATATGTTTGAGTGCTTTTATCTCTCAGATTATTTGTGAGGGCTTTTTTCTTGCGCGCTTTTGTCATAGGACCTAAATTTTTGAAATCTATATTTGATAGCATTATAAAACAAACACAGGAGTACATATAATAAAATGAAAACAGAACAAAAATATCAAAATAAAAATTTCCAAACTTTTTACATCAATGTGTTCAAACCTCAAATCCATTTGCTACCTACCTTCAATTCTCTACTGCATTTTTATGGTTTGACGTTCCCGAAAGTCTATTGTTGGCAAGATGTTTGTATGCTGTGCGGCGTTTCTTGTTTGTGTGTGCCTGTGTTCGTGTGTGTCGTTTTGTTCGTGTTTGTGTCAAAATGTGTTCGTGATTATGTGAGTTTGTGTTCGCGCGTATTTATGCCCACATTTGCTTGTACTCATGCATGTTTTATTCCCTTGTGTGCGTCCGCGCTTGTGTGTCCTCACTCACGTACATTTTAAAGCTTGCGCATGCGTCGAAGACGGCTATTTGAAAAGAAAGAATAATTTTCATTTTACGTTAGATTTCCAATTTTTTGATTGCATTTGACCGACCAATCTGACTCACTTTGAAATGTTACTGTCCTTGTTAAACTTCGTGGCTTCATAATTTTTAAAAGCGGTTTGTCGACACTATTCACCAAAAAAAATAATTATTCGAACAGCATGATGTTCTTTGAGCAATTATTCTGTTGCTGGCACTGCACCGACCACCCACTTGCGAGGAGCGCCACAAAAAATCGCAATTGACGCAGTGGTTAATAAAATTTGCAAAATTAATCAATAAACAAAGTAAGCAAAATTTATGTAAGGGTAGCACTAAGTAGACTTTATGATGGCAACTTTTTGCAAACAGTTCAATGAAGACGCAAATATAAAAAGAGCAATATGACGTTGATGTTGTTTTTGTAGATGATGAAATGAAACAAGCAAAAGAATGTGGTTGGTTCTTGTTCATGTGGCTACGATGGTGTTTGTCATAATGACGACAATAATGATATTATTAACAGACTGCCTCAACAGAAAAAGATAGCCCTTCTAAAAATTTCAATATGATGAGTGAAATTGTTATTAGATTTTTGAAGCCTGACAGGACAATGATGAAAATGAAACCTGCACATACAAACAAACTAACCTTACCTCTCACATGCATAACAAACGAACTCCATTGATAAATTGCAGATATAGGAATTATTTTGGATGTAGGATCCAGCATACTCAAGTGATATGAGTTTGATTATATGAAAGCCAAGGTATTCCATTGATACGAATGTTGATGTTGCGTGTGAATACGCCTGTGTACCTATTACAGAACAAACATTTCACGAGTGCAATTTCATAAACACAGCATAGCTAACCTACCATGTACTATAATGTTGTTTGCCAAAAGCCTGACGAGAGAGTAGCTCTGTGAATCGCTATGACTACACGCAAGAATCAAACAATAAACATGAAAAACAATAACGAAAGAAAGAAGAGGGAAGTTAAAAACAAATTCCAGACATTTGTGGATGAAATATGATCAAAATTAACTTTATCGTGAATGCGATGTTGAAAAACTGACAACTAGATCATAATGTATGAATACGTGCGTACGTAAGATAGGGCATGATGCCTCTGATGTTTCAACAGTAGTCTAGATCAAGTTACAGTGAAATAGAAAATATATAAAAGATGTTAACGAATAAAACTGAATAAATAAACAAATTAATAAATTAATGATAATAATAAATTAATAAAAATACAAATAAATAATAAAAATAATCATAAACAAACCCAAACGTTGTTACAATTAATAAGCATCACGGAAAGTAGGATGAAGATAAATAAAAAATTTTTTAAAACTGATGGGCCAGGCTGGACAAAATTTTTTAATTTGGGCGATTGAGACAACTGTCGACATAATTTAATCATTCTAAAAACGACCAAAGATTCCAAAGATAAGAAGGCGATGCTTGTAAAACTCAGCAGTCCATTTTACTTTAAAACTGACTTGACAACTCTTAAAACTTGTTAAAATTTATTAATGAGAAACCCATAAAATTTGTCAATAATATAGCTGACAAATAGATACTAGGACGTATATCATCTATTGCTTGATTGATTGGCTGGCTGGCTGGCTGGCTGGCTGGCTGGCTGACTGACTGACTGACTGACTGACTGACTGACTGACTGACTGACTGACTGACTGACTGACTGACTGACTGACTGACTGACTGACTGACTGACTGACTGACTGACTGACTGACTGACTGACTGACTGACTGACTGACTGACTGACTGACTGACTGATTGATACAATTCTACGTAGGTATATCCAAATCAAACGAACATGTTAAATAGAGTCGCCCGCGGTTAAAATCAATGTACAGCAGAAACTTACAATGCATTCAACGCAAAGCCCCACAGGCTTTTACTATCGCCATTATTACTGCTATTATTGTTACTACTACTATTACTACTACTACTACAAACACTAATACTACTACCACCACTACTACCACCACCACCACTACTACTACTACTACTACCACTATTACTACTACTACTAATAATAATAATATTACCACTGCTACTACTAATACCATTACTACTACTACTGCTACTACTACTACTACTAATAATAATAATAATACTATTATTGCTACTACTATTGCTCCTTTAACTTCTATCATTATTTTTACCAGTCTTACCATTATATTATTATGAACCTTATTGATACTGCAACTACTATGGCATCTACTTCTGGCTATTTCAACTACCGTTATTACTACTACTACTAATACTACAACGATTGCATATTATTATTATATTATTATTATATTATTATTATATTATTATTATATTATTATATTATTATTATATTATTATTATATATTTATATCTAATATCATTTTTTCATCATCCTTGTACTCGTATCTAAATGATGAGCATGGTTGACTATAAACATTCTGTACATTTATGATAATTGATTTTATATTTTGAGGTTTGATGATAATAAAAAGAGTTCCCATCATTATTATTATTACTATTATTATTATTATCGGTGTGTTTGTAGGCGCCCTTTAAAAAGATTTCAAAGGGGCTAGCGGTTGTAGAAGGGCTCCTGGAGACTTACCCTATGTATTTTTTGCCCGAACGATGGAAGAAGGGCTACTGGAGACTTACCCTATGTATTTTTTGCCTGAACGATGGAAGAAGGCTCGCCAGATAAATGATGACGATGGCAATAGTGAAAATGATTTGTATGATGGTTTTTTTTATCAGTTAGCAAACAACACTGCATTGTCACCGTGCACGTGTGTTATAAATTGTTGATAGGATACGTCATTAAGGTTATTACCACTATGTTAATTTTCTGTAACTCTATTTATGACATCTTTGTAGAAGAAAATATCTTGATACCATAATCAAATCTATCACCATATCATTATCATGCCCAGTCGTATCACCGTATCATCGTCACCAACGATATCAGGTTCAAATCTAGTATCACATCATCATTATCATCATAAGTGTCATTATCAAATCCAACATCATATATCTATTTAATCATCATTAATATCGTGATCAAGCGCAACATCATATTGTTTCATCATCATTATCATAATCAACCTCAACATCAAATCACTATATCATCATCTATATCATAATTAAACCTAACATACTATCATCATTACCCTCGATATCATTATCAAATCTATCACCCCCATCATCATCATCTTCCCCCTCATCATCATCATCGGTGTCATATCCAAATCCAGTATGATCATCTCAATGCTTCTCCATTCAGGATGTTGATGTACGAGCAGTATGATGGCATCGATCAATCAATCAGCCATTCATTATCAACCTCGTGTTTCTCGCTCATACTTGGTCTCGATTTGCGACAAGTGATTCAAAAGCGTGCACTTCTCAATATAACTACTCCCTGCACGCACGAGCTTATGAGTTTTATTTTATTTCATATCATATTATCATATTAATTTATATTATATTAATTTGTATTTTAAGTTTGTACTAACTTCTTTAATTGCGAACAAAGACACACGTAATTTTTTCATCAAGTGAAAATAAAAAAAAATATAAAACTTATTTCATGGTCGATCTACTTGATCACACACCATTTTTAGTTGGAGATTGTGAACTGTTTGAAAATTTGATTCCATATTTTTATTATATGAAAACGATGAAAACTGCTGTGTTTTGATAAAAATTGTGGATTTTCGGAAAATTATGAATTTATAGCAAAGATAAAATAATTTTTATGATTAAATTATGATAAGCGTAGATGAATTAACGTAGATGTATCATTACCAATCTTTTTATTAATTTTTATTTTATCTTGTTTTAATATTTTTAAATTTTAAAAATTTTATATGTTAAAAAATACTTTTCACGATATTTTCAATCCTTATAAATTTCTGGCATATACAACTCAAGTCAGATATGTCAATTGACAAACAGTACAGCGTATAATTTAACATGTGAAATTAAGTTATTTATGACTGATCAAAATATTCAAGCAGCAAAAGCAGTTTTGAAATTCGGCAGAGTAGTCTGAAACAGACTGTCTGATGATGTCACTCGAGTTAGTATGTAGAATAAAATGAGATGAGTGCATCGTGCGCTGTTGTCTGCATGTTCGTGTTGTTGTATAAAAGACAAATCGACAGTTGGTTTTTATTCATAGTGAACATATTTCATAGGCTCAATAAATCATTCATATGTAATATTTCAAAATAAAAACAATTTGATGTGCTTTTAATAAAACCATCGTAAAAATGAAAGTACAAATCTCTTCATCCCTTGCTACCGCTACACACAACAATTAAGTGGAGGTAGATAAGTGCAGGTGGATAATTATTTTTTGATTTGTTTCTAGATAAAATAGCAATCATCATGATAGCAAAAGATTTTCATTAACCAAACGAACGCAAAAGTTTTGATACGTGTGCCGCAAAAGAAGAAATCAAAGAAAACAATTTGTCGGAAAGTCCGCTGATGAAGAAGACAGAAACAACTTGTGACAGCTGGCTTGATGAGAATGTTTTAATTAAATGCAGCTTGGTATTTTTGTTGCAAAAGTTTCCGTCCAAAAGAGTTTATTTTTTCAAATGAGATTTTTGTGATATTTCAAAGTATAATTTTTAGATGCAATTTTCGTTCTATTGCTTTGATCTTCATCC